CAAAAGGAATGATATGGAGGGTCTCCACATTGAAACGGATGCCTCTGTTGACAACAGTATCACAAGCAGCAGTAGAGTGAACAAAAGGCTGACAACACCGTGCCATTATTCCTCTGTACATTTCGATAGTCCAGAATTGCCATGTGCTGGCATCGTAGGGCGCGATCCATTCAACCAAAATTCCAACCGGTCCGACCGGGATAAGTAGTGCGCGATCCATTCAACCAACATTCAGACCGGTCCGACCGGGAAAAGAGGACCACCTCAAAAGGTGGACCTGTTTTTTCGAAACTTTTCCGGTTGGACCGAACCGATCCATTTAGTTTTGGACCGAAATTTCCGGAAATTTTGGTTGAATGGATCGCGCCCGTAATCCACCTCAAAAGGTGGACCCGTTTTTTCGAAACTTTTCCGGTTGGACCGAACCGATCCATTGAGTTTTGGACCGAATTTTCCGGAAATTTTGGTTGAATGGATCGCGCCCCAATGCAATGTCTAGCACTTTGCGGAGGAGATTCTTGGAATTTCTTATCGCAGATTCCGATTTCGCGTTTGACTTTGGGTTACAGGGGCGGCTTGTTAGGTGCTCAAATTCCCACATGCTGGCGAATTTCTTGAAAGCTTTGGATGACGTACGGCATCCGTACCTCAGTGTAAATTTGCTCTTTAGTTAGCCAGGGTGTTTTTTTCAATTGTTTAATGGGGAAATGTTTGTTGTTGAAGGAGAAGAGATCGACCGCGATTTTCTCCTATGACTTCGAGGGCGTCTCGACAAGGATGAGGGTTCCTGGTTGACTTGCTGCAAACTTACTGCAGGTTTCACACTTTGGGATCATCTCTTTGATTTCAGAATTCAAATTCACACTGGCTCGCCCTTTTCGTAAAAGCAGGATTCTTCTCCCATGTGAGACGAGTGAACTCTTTCTTTAATGTTCCATCGCAGCGCTTGCGGTACTACAGCTATCTCACTCCTGATTATTAGACAGTCATGAACAGATAGTTCATCTCTCAGACGTACGGTGGCTCTGAGGTACAGACGCTACGCAGGAGCGTCTTTTCCCTCAGTCGACAATCCTCGCAGTGTAAATGATGGATTTAAGGATTTGTAGCATCTCGTCTCGCACCTGATCTCCTCAATTCTACCAGCTCGAGTCATACGTCGATGACTCTAAAGTTTTGCTATCTTTTCCCGTAGCCGATGTCATTGACGCTAAGTTCAAGCTCGAAGATGATTTGCGCAATGTTGCCACCTGGTGTTGCACAAATGATTTGTTAATAAACCCTGAGAAAACGAAGTTCATGTTGATCGGCACCAAGCAAATGATAAGTAAACATTCAGTTAATTTTACTGTTTCGTTTATTGGAAAGACTCTTATGGCTGTCGAATCAGCAAGAGATCTAGGAGTATACATAGATTTACACCTGACCTATGACACTCATATCTCCCACTTAGTCTCTTCTTGCTTGACTAAACTGGTTCAGATCAACCGCGTGAAATATTGTTTTGATAGAAAGACTTTGGTTTTAATTATTACTTCTCTTGTCTTTAGCAAAATGCTCTACTGTTCGACCGTGTGGTCTAATACCTCATCTAAGAACATCCAAAAGCTGCAACTTATTCAGAATTTCGCCTGCAAAATTATCTGCGGCGCTCGGAAATATGACCACGTGACGCCATTACTTGACGAACTCAACTGGCTTCCAGTTAGCAAGATGCTCAAATTCAGAGACGCTGTTATGGCTTATAAGTGTGCCAGCAATTTAGCTCCTGAATACCTATGTGCTAAGTTTAAAAAACGATCTTCTGTACATAATCGCACAACCCGTAATAATGAGAAGTTCGAAATCCCATTATTCAGGTCAGCCACTGGCCAACGTACCTTCGCCTATAGAGCAGTATCCCTGTGGAACACGTTAGACGAAGACCTTAGAAACGCTACAACTGTAAAGGCCTTTACGAAAGCCCTGAAACTTGTAATGAATGAATGATCGAATGACAGTTAGCATTTAACAACTATTAGCTTGTTAGATATAGCTTGCATTTATATTTGTAAATAGGTACTGAAAAACCTTTTTTTGGGAGTATTTATTAAAGTTTTAATTTAATTTAATTTAATCTCTTGCAAGTCGCAAATATAAGATTGGAAGAAAGCTAGCTATGATACCTGGTTCAAATTAAAATAAAACTGAATGCAAGACTGGCAATACGGCAAAGCATGTTAGGTGCCACGCTCATGGAGCGGGATCTCTCTGAGAATTGTATTAACTTCCGGTCATGATCTACATTTACCTCTTCTTCTGTGTTGCCAAAACCGTATATGAAGATGTTGTCTTTCATATCCAGAACGTCTTCCAGAGTTTAGATTACCCGTTTCCGGACTCTTTGAACAGTCGGATTAATGAATGGTAGTCGGCACAAGCGGTATCTCTCCAAACGATGTAGGGAAGGTTGTGAAGAGACCAGACCGTTTATCAACGATGCAGTGCCAGTATCCTAAGCACAGATCGACTGTCCGAAACATTTGAGCTTTTTATACCTCCGGCAGAAAGTCAACAAGGACGGGAAGCTGATATCGCTCTCTCTTGAGGCCTTTGTTTTGTAGTCTCGGGTCTATGCAGTCCTGAGGACTCCCGATTTCTTCGTTGCAACGACTGCACTACTAACTCACGACGTATGTTTGTCTGCTAATCCGACGCCTTCGCTTTTCGGCTTGGGTAAATCTACATGTACATGTTATCATTTTGGTGGAAAATAACACTTAGAGGGGGCACTTTTGGACAACATAGAAATCAAGGAAATTTGTCCCAGCACAGGTAACCAAGGCTCACTATTTTTTCATAACATGAGTAAATATAGAGAACATATAGGGCGAAACTGATTTAGGTCTGGAAATTTGCTAGAAAATGGAAATAAAAATTGATGAAATTTACCATGCGGCAAGTTGTTGTTTTCCTTAATGTGCACACGAAGTTTCGGGAAAATAGTCTCCTTCATCTTTCCCACATAGTAAAGTAGCCACTTGACAACCGCCGCCCGATCAGCTGGTCGTGAGTTCAAACCCCGGACGGACCATCAACCAAGGTCTTTAAAATACTGGTGAGATCATGCTAGCTGTGAATCCCGTTTCTCAGTTCAGATTATCGCGTCATTGGGCGGTGACGTTACGCCGTTGGCCGTGTCTCCTTCATACTTGTACTTCAGTTGGAAGGGGGCGTAAAAGAACCCGTGACATTGTTCGAAAAGAGTAGGGGATTTAGGCCCCGATGTCATGGTCTATCTGACTTGTGCCGTCATCGGTCTGGGTAAGCGAGGTGTGATCAAAGCATGAACTGAAGTGGCTGCAAGAGTGCGCCTTTACATGCTGACGTCCGATCTCACCTCTCTGGATCTTCCGCAATTCAGCCAGTGCATGGATGCAAGTGAGGAAAGTTGGCACCGTTTATTTTTTATTTATTTATTTTTTGGAGTTTCTGCACCGAGTACTTTTTTTTTGGTAGATACAGCCGCCTCGACCCCTCAGGAAAAAAACTGGGATAGATGCCCCTTTGCCGATCTTTTTCTCCAAAGAAAAGAGGGCAAGACAGAATCTTGTCAAGGAGGATTATAAGAAAGCTTGAGAGGATACAGCTTTATCCTCTCTTGAAGAAGACAAATGAAGAAATTACTACTTCTCGCACGGGCCGGGGAAAAACTTGGTGCATACTTTACAACAAGGCCCTCAAAATTGGTGAATGGAAAGTATTTTATAAAAATTATAAACACTGACAGCACACGTTTCGTAATACTCTTGATGTGCAGAATGGTTAATTTTATTTTCAAATTACTCTTTAAAATCAGAGACCATTTTCTTCTGTACAAGTAATTTACATAGGATTTGGTGAGTTTCAGCCCACGAAAGTTAGCTTCAACATAAAAATTATTACAAAAAAATTGCGTGATGATGGAGATGACATTACCTTACATAACTAATTTAGTGATGTACCGATCATCGATCATAATCCAGCATTGATAGAAACATTAACCCTTTGACGACCGCTTTGGTCGTTTTCGTTCCAGATGCATATTTTCCTTCCTGAACCCATTAACTTTCAGTTTGAGCTATTAAATTGGTATAAGCAGCAACATCAGCAAGGATAGATCTCTCCACCGGTACCTCGTTTAGAAAATTCTAACCAACGCTTAAGAGTTATGAACAAAAATATTTCATCTCAGCCAATTTACAAAACTGATTACCATACTAAACTTTTGCTGATTAAAAGTAGAATTACTATTGACCAAACCAGTGCGTGTACTAAGTGACAAACTGAGGGATTTAGCGTTATTCAAACGACTTAAAGCATGCCTTGATGCCAACGTGTTTTCTATGTACATAGGATACACTGTACATCTGGGCCCAGTTGTTCGAAAGGAGAATAGGGTAATTGGTTTCCCTAATGTTTATCTGGTGGATGGTAATTTATCTGGCCCCAGTACTGCTATCCACGGGGTAAATCACTTTCCAGTGAATAACACAATTAATTTTCGTATTACTTATCCATTGGATAGTGATTTATCCGCTGGATAGGGCTATCTAATGTTTGATCAATCACGACCTGGCCCCAGTTGTTCAAAAGTTGGATAGCGCTATCCACCGGATAAATCACTATCCAGTGGATAAGTATTAGGGAAACCAATTGCGTTATCCACTGGATAGTGATTTATCCGATGGATAGCGCTATCAACCTTTTGAACAACTGGGGCCTGGTGGATAGTGCTATCCAGTGTTTGAACAACCGGAGCATTGTCAATGGATGGTGTGCTAAGGCCAAAAAGGACTTCAAAACTCCCTACTACTTCCACAAGGGCATTTTTCCTCAGATTAAAAACCCAAATGAAGAAGTTAATTAACCTTTTCTAAAGAGTTCCATAGTTTCATTGAGGAACACATAAAAATGAACAAAAGTAATGGAATAACTGAATTCAAATAAAGTTTGCCTAAGTAATTAGATAAAAACTTTTGTTATTGTGGTGGTTTGAATGACTTCCAGCATCTCTCATTGAAAACCTGCAAATTAAAGAACAATTGATGAGATAACTGACAAATTTTCACCAAGCTCCCCTACAGAAGTATGGAAGAACAAGACTAGTATGCAGTACTTCCCACACTAACAGCTCTCTTGAACATAACTGCTGCCAAACACAAGCCAGCTATCTTGTTCATCAAAAGCTCTTTCCCTATGACATGATATTATTATTTTGCCTCTAATACTACTATTAGAACTTTACCTTTAGAGTACGTTGTTTTATAACCTCTTCTACACTAAGCTCTGACCGCATTAAGCGAAGCTGTAAAAGAATAGAGAAAGAGAAAACGGTTGTATAATATTTCTGTGTATTCATGTCTGCAAGCAAAACTCCACACAAGACTGGACCACTCCACCCTTCCTGGTCATCTCAACTGTGTTCCTCACCCTGTTTGCCCCTCCCCTCCCATGTCTTTGGTGCCCCTCACCCTGTTTGCCCCTCCCCTTCCATGTATTTGGTGTCCCTCACCCTGTTTACCCCTCCCCTGCCATGTCTTTGGTTTTCTCACCCTGTTTGCCCCTCCCCTCCCATGTCTTTGGTGTTCCTCACCCTGTTTGCCTCTCCCATCCCATATCTTTGGTGCCCCTTACTCTGTTTGCCCTTCCCCTCCCATATCTTTGGTGTTCCTCACCCTGTTTGCCTCTCCCATCCCATTTCTTTGGTGCACCCCTTACTTTGTTTGCCCACCCTCCTCTACTTATCTCAACCCACCCATCTACATTGTATGGTCTCTTCTGATCTGTCTCGGATTTTCCACCATCTTGTTAATTATTCGGATCACCTACTCCTTCCCTACATCTAAGTCAACAATAGCACTTACATGTACAGTCGAACCTCTGGGTACGGACACCTCTCTAATATGGACACCTCTATATTACAGGCAGTTTCATATGTCCCAACAAAATTCTCATATACTTTCTTTAAAAAAACCTCCATAATACAGACCCTCTGTAATACAGACAACGGACACTAAATCTTGGCCCTAGAGAGTAAATTCATAAGAACTTGACCTCTTTATTACGGGCACTGTGGTGATCAGGTGAATTCTGAATCCTTATCAGGTGAATCTACCCCCGGGGTAAACCCCGTCTGGCTGATGAGCTATGCAAGGTGACTGCAAAAGCCCGTCGCTGTATACAGCTATTTCGAGAAAGGTTGTCGGAAAAAATGTGCACGCGACAACTCCGAAAGGTAATATGGGATATGATCAATACACTGTTCCTAACGACTGCAGTTGTCGAACCTACTTTTGTTGCTTTCCACTAGCACTTGCGAACATATGTCCATGGCCTCTCGTGCCATTCTTTCAAATTTCTTTGGAGAACAGGGCAGACAAAACCACCCACAATACCTTTCGGGATTGTCGCGTGCACTTTTTCCGACAACCTTTCTCGCAACAGCTTTATAAAAAAACAATTTGCAAAAGGTGTGCAGAGAAACATAACCAACTTTTTTCAGGCTTCAATAACTACAGATAGCATAAAGATCTTTTCTATTACATTTTCTACCCTTGTTACGGTTTAGTGCACTTGCAAAATAGCGTAAGATGCTTCCAGAGTTGTGCTTGACATTACAACTTTCTACAGGCAGCATTCACTGTAGCTCGTCTCGATATGTACAAAGTTGTATGCTACTGAAAGACAGAGTCTTTGTGCTGTGAATTAATAAACTTAAATGCAGTTTAAAGACAACTGTAAGCCTGGTTTTAGCTACTGAACACTTAACACTGTAAGTGGAGTCATAAAAGTGACGTCATCGTATTGACCTCTTTTATAAGGACACCTCTCTAATACGGACACATCGCTCTGTCCCTTTGGTGTCCTTGTTAAAGAGTTTCGACTGTACCTCTCCCTCACTTAGGGCAAAATTGTGACTTTGGGGAGGACAGGTGGTCAGTCACCTAGAAACCTCAATTGATCCAATAATTTTATTATTCTCCCAGAGGAATACAGGACAGATTTCGAGTGATGGGGAAGATTGAATGGGGGCAAAAATCAAAACCAAAATAGATCCATGGACCAAAAATTAGCCACCCCACAAAAAAAAAACCATGCCAAATTTCCTAGCCTTAAAAATTTCCAAAAACCAAACAAGTTTGGTTGTACTTTATTAGCCGAACTACAAGGCTGGCATACCCAGGCACTAACACAAATCTTCAGATTGTTTTGAATACTCAAAAAATACTTGCCAAATATTTCTTCCCAAAAAATCCTGGCATCAAAAATTCAAACCAAAAAAAATTCTTTGATCATCCCTGTCACTTGAAATCCTGGGCACCCCATTCTTACAGTAATCAATTAACATCACACTTGTCAATTTGGCAATGCTTTAGGGAGGACATTTTTGGAGGGAAATTTGTATGTTTTGAAGACGAAAAAGAAAAGGTTTTGAAAGATTTTTGATGAGTTTGAATTTTGGTTACATACTTTACCCATATAATTTAAGAATTTTTAAATTCTTAAATTTGTGTCATATACACTTAAAAGGACTGAAATATTTATGCAAAAATAAAAAGAAAATATCTTAAACATAAAAGGGCTCTGCACGTACATAGATATGGGGATAACTCAAACTTAATGGAAAAGAAAATGTTCGGTTGTGTTCAAATCAGGGAAGTCAAACAATAAAAAGCAGCAAAGAGGCTTTCAATGATGTCTTCAGTTTACTCTTAAAAAGTGAGGGGACAGAAGGAGGCTGCTTTCATAAGGTTCCTTGCTTGTTTGAAGGAATTTGTGGGAATTTATTGGAGAAAATATGTTCATAGAAATGGTGAGAGTTTTACCTTTGTTTGTTCTTTCCCAAGGTCTTTCATTGCTTGTATGTCGTCTTGATTATTTTCTTTTCTTTTCCTAAGCTGCTGGACATTTTCATTGACTGTATTTATGCACTTCTTTATTGCTTGATCTCTTGTTTGATAAGCAGTCAGCAGCTGTAATATAACCAAAACACCACTCAGAAGCAACCAACTACAGACTCTTCCGAAATACATTGAAGACACTTTTTAGGCTATCCAGAGTACTTTTACGGTACACCTGTAGAAATCTGTTCTAAACAGCTCTAAAAGGTTAGTATCTGTTCCTGAAGTCATCTTAGGGAAACTTGAGTCTTTTGAAATAACAAGGGTTTCACTATTTTTTGCCAAAAATGTAAGATGCAATTTAAAGCTTTACAAGGGTTAAATTTTTTCTGATTCCTCTCTCCAATAAATTTTTTAATCCAAAACTATTACGTGATCCTTTTTTCTTCAATTATAGCTTATACATTATGTACGTCATATTACTGTATACCTCATTGTATAGTTCATTGCATTTCTCCTTTGCACTGATTTCCCCAGCAAAAGAGGCAGTGGGAACACTTTTATTTAATTCATAGATTATTTTGTCATCAAGAAGGCGAAGAACCTTTAAAGCTTCCTGCAAGCAAATAACAAAGACATAAATTCAGAGAATAGCAAAGCTGTATTAAGTTTTGGAGCAGATGTAGTGGTAGCTTTTAAATACGTGTAATCACCTGTAACATCTTTAAAAGTGAAAAAAAAATTGACTCCATGAATTGTGATCATATTTTCATGGGCAGATTGAAAAAGAGGCTGAGGGGCAGTGCTCCACTCTTTTTGTCAGAAATATTGTTTAACTTCTGTAGAATTCTGTCTTCCAGAGCTTTAATTTCTTGACACAAATGCTCAAAGAATTCTTTAAAGAACAAATACTTTCTATGACTGCTGCTATCCTTAAACTTCTCCCCCAACAATTTCTGAATTTTCTAGTTCAACCCATTGCTTTTTAAATGGATCCATGAATAAACCTCTCCCAGAATTCATAATCAGTAGATGTCTTAAGTATTTATGTGGTAAGGTATTGTTTAATCAGTACCTTTTTAGAAGAAATTCTTAAGTTTATATAAACATGGTTACCACAGTAGTTCCTTATACACTTGTGCACCTATTGCAGCTATGTGCACTGGTGAAAGTCACACGTGGCTGTTGCATGTAATTTGCAAACCTGCTGAGTCAAGGATTGATGAAACTTTTTCGGGTCAAAAAAAGTAAAATTTTGGGGGCTAGAACCTACATTTTTGAGGGGTCTTCAGGTGAATATAATTTTATTTAATTCTATAGGGGTAAGAAGAAAAGGTCAAAAGGACAGGAGAACAGCCTGTCAGTGCCAAGGCGCATTTTCTGTTTCCGTGACAATTACTGGCTACAACAGTCGTCATTTTCATTCATATTAGCCAGCTTCTACAATGTTGATTAGCGCATTACCCAGTACATTGCGTGAATCTCAACACTGAAGGAAAGAAGGAGCATACACAGAGAAATTGTATAAGTCGGTTAATAAGGTGTAACAAAAAAATCCTCAGCTTTTGTCTAGCGTATCAACGAAATTTGACGACCATTGTAGCTTTTAAAAATTCCCCTATATTGATGACCCTTCAATTAATCGCTATAATTTATGGCAGTGTTCCCAAATCATACGAAATGTTTCGAAGTCTAACAGCTTCATTTATGCCTAGACAAAGTAAGAGCACTTTAATTACCTTAAATTCTCCAAAATCTTCACAAGACATTTGACTCAGCTCGCTTCCTCCAGCCGCCATCTTGATCCACGTGCCTAATGAGATACTTATTGCTCGCTACATGACGCTACTATTTAACTGCTGTCCATCAGTAACTTGTTTTTGAGCCTGCGGTTACGTCACCAATTCTTACTTTATCTTCGATTCTTCGATGCCTTTTAATTTTTTATCACCCTAATTTGTTCACCAAATTTAGGAAAGACCATCGAAACGCAGTGGGCTTAACAGGGATCACAAGATCATAAGACAAAATTCGTTGTTTTAACCAAAGGAAACCATCAAACAAACTCCCTAGGGAAAGGTCCTGACTTATTAATCTTCATGTTTTCATGCTTCAGAAGCCGGCTATTACCATTGGACTTCAACTCACCGGTGTTTAATGGATGTTGTTGTTTTTCGCCTCTGTGATAAAGCACCGGACATTCTGAGAGAAGTGTGCTTAGAGCGTGGCTGGGAAGAGTATAACGAAGATCATCTCGAAGAAAGCGGGGACTGGAATTTGTGGTGGAAAACTCAAGGCTTCACAACCAGTGAATACAAAAACTGTCGACCTTGGCAGCGTCTAAATCACTTTCCAAAATCAACAAAGATCACGAAAAAAGATGGCTTAGCAAGAAACCTTAGACGAATGAAAGCGTCCTATGGAGGTTCTATTTTTGATTTTTTTCCTCGCACGTTTATTTTGCCAAATGAGTATAAAAAGTTTGTTTCAGAATTTTCCAAAGAAGATGGCGATAAGAGATCAAATTACTGGATTTGCAAACCGACGGAGCAGTCATGTGGAAGAGGAATCTTCATTTTCAAGGATCTTCATGATTTGACTTATGACTGTGCTGTGGTTGTTCAAAAATATGTGATCAAACCTTTTCTTATTTCGGGTTACAAGTTTGATCTACGTTTGTATGCCATTGTTACATCATTTCACCCTTTCCAGCTTTACATTTACCATGAGGGTATTGTGAGATTCAGCACTGAAAAATTTGATCTTTCTTCACTTGACAATCATTTTTCACATCTGACAAACACCAGTATTAACAAATCTGGTCCACAGTATTCCACAAAAAAGGAAAGTATTGGGGTTGGTTGTAAATGGACCCTTAGCCAATTCCGTGTCTACCTGCACAAACACAACATAGATGATCGTGTGCTGTGGCATCGAATCACGTCAATCATCATAATTACTCTGTTGTCCCAAGTCCAAGACGTACCCAGTGATTCTTACAACTGCTTTGAGTTGTTTGGCTTTGATGTTCTTATCGATGAAAAGCTGAAACCATGGTTGCTGGAGGTCAATTTTTCCCCTGCTCTAGGCAATGATTGCACTCAAGATGAGCTGGTCAAGAGACCACTGCTAAATGACATTCTCGAAATTGTGGACTTTTCTGAAGCTGACATCAAACGGGGCAGGAAAGAAAAGGAGACCACAGCTACTAGGAGAAAATCTAGAGGTGTAGTCCACAGTGTTCCAAGGAGTAATTTCAAAAGCTACAACTCAAACATGAATGACATAATATGTAGAAAAAATTCTAAGATTTCACTGCCCCTTTCTCAAGCACAAGAGGAAACTGAATGTAGAGATGTTACAGAGTCTGGCAAGAATCATGTCATGCATGTTGGGAATAGGAAGATGAGAAGCAAAAATCAAAAGCACAAATGCCCTGTGTCTGGTGCAAATAGTGTTAAAACAATAAAGTCATGCCAAGAATGCGAAACACCATGTTCAAAGCACACTCTTTGTAGTAATAAGAAACTTAGCAGTTCAGAAGAGTTTATTAAAGCTGCATCAAGTGATGATTGTGATGGCCAGACCAGCTCAGGTTGTGACAAAATTAATATTACTCTTAATTGTGCTTCTCAATCTGATTTCAAAAGCAATTCTGGTTATGTATTGGAAGCAGAGAATGAGAACGGTCAATCACTTTGTCTGGAGGAAATGGAGGAAGGTAAAAAGGGTCATGGAAAGGCACACACAGGAAGGGCTTTAGAATTAGCAAGACCACAAAGTGTAATTAAAGGCAAAGCTTTGGATCCATCTTCTGAGTTTTCAAGGCCAAAAAAAAGTGAACTGCCACCTCACTGTTACCTGCGACGCTATAACTCGGAAGCATCATTGCTGTATGGTATTCAGCACTCAGGCAACTTGCATCACTCAACCTCAAAATACTTCCCACGGGTTCCAACTGCTGTTAGGTCTGCTCACAAGACTAGCTGTTCCCTAAAATCTCAAATTGGCAACTGCATTCTTGCTTTCCCCTTCAATGAGGCAACACTCAAAGCGAGTCAAGGAACTATGGACTTAAAGATTGTAATTGAAGAGATAAGAAAAATTTTGAGACTAGTAAGGAATCATGTCAAGTCATCATCATCAGAACTTAGTGATGATGGTAGTAATTCTCTGGACCTTTCGAAACCATTTTGGGGATATAGGTCAAAGGTGAATAAATTTTATAGCTCTTTGGAGCCATAAAATGACTTTGTAATAATCTAGTTACACTGCAACAACAGATTCCCAGTTTTTCCTCTGCCACCTAAACACTTGGGTTATGTCAATCCCTTCTGGTTTATCCCCCATATTTCCACACAATTCTCTTTCTTTTGAAGAAAACTGAGTTTTCAGCAATGTGGAAATTTTTATTTCTTTGTAACTGAAGTGTTTGTAGAGTTGGTCAAAGCTAACAATACTTCCACATTATATTTACTGGTCAAAGAATATTTTCTATCATCAAGGAACTGAACATCTATTTGGTGAGTCTGATGAGTAGAAGCTGTCAAAATTTCTTAATTCCTGTATCTTTTCTTTACAAAATCAGTGATGTTTTTGCTGTGCTCTAAACACTTCCCTATTATTTCAGTATCTCCCTGCAGTTCACCTTTTTTTTCCTGTCCTGTAAGTTACCGGTACATTGTCACAAAAATGAACAAGATGGGGTTCAACCCCATCTTGTTGTCATTATGTCGCTCTAATGTTCCTTGTTTGAGTACATTGACACTACAAACCCTTCTCTGTCAGGAGTCAGATCTCCCAGGATATTCACTTTCTGCTAAGATTTCATATCTATAGCACAAACTGTAGCAATTTCTTGAGATGACTGCCCTATTTGAAATGTCATGAACTTTTTGTAAGGTGAGAATAGTGAATAATTATTGTGTGAGGAGTGTAGTCTTTACCTTTCAGCCATCTGTATGGGCCTAGCCTATGTGTAGCTCTGCACCCTCCCCCCCCCCTCCCCGGCTATATTGTATGGGCCTATTTGAGGGTGTGCTTTAAGCAAGACAACAAATGAATTTGCATAACTTAAAAGTGGGCAATTAAGTTGATTTCTTTTTAATTGAATCTGGAAACTTTACAACAAATTATTTATTTATTTATTTATTTATAAAAAGCAAAGTATTTTTTGAGGCTTGTATGAGACAAGTATAGTTCTACTACATGTAGAAATGTCAGACCACTGTATGTTTGAATTGCTTCTCTATGAAGGGAATAGTTAATATTCCCTTGTCTTGTAAAAAAAGTTGTTTCCTATAAAATGAGTGATAAAATATATTATTTTAAAATAGTAACATTTAAGAAGTGGAATTGTTGTATCTCGTGCTGCTTTGAATATTCAATATTTTGTAATAAAAGAGAGTTCTGGTTTGAAATAGGGTATCATTTATGAAGAAACCAAAACAGTCTGGTATTGAGGATAGATCATGAATAATACCGTAGGGGTCAACCAGTGTTCAACCTGAATCGAGGGTTGATTTTTCTAGCCTGGAAAAACAATCGACATTTTATGATACCACCACTGGTTTCCCTGCGAAATGATGTCTGAATAGACTGCGAGCAGTCTCTTTTTCTTCAGATTTTAGTGAGGGAGTGCATGCGCGTGAGCGTCAACAGGAGTAGTCATTTGCGTGTGTCGCTCGCTTTGCTCAACATCCTCAACAGACCAAGAAGAAAGAGAGACTCCTCGTAGTCTATGTCTGAGGAACAAGTTCAAATTCCATACTGATGACGTGTCTGTGCCAAGATCTTGGTAGTGCTTCTGATTGGTTGTAAATTTGCTTCAACCAATCTGAGTGTGGCTTGGCATATATATACATATACTTTAAGAACTCAATGGTTCTGTTAGATGTCATAAATTGTACGGCTATTTGACAAAACCAATACCCATTCATCTCCAGCCCAACACAGAAACACAGTCTGCTTTTTGTGAAGTTTGGACGGAATACATCTGGTTGGTTTTGGTGGAAAATTTCAAAAAGCAATGGAACGTCTGATTTCTTCAATGGCCTGCGTGGCAGGGTCTCCAATCGGTAACCGCTCATTTCACCCCCAAGTCATTTCGCCCCGGTTACTTAGCCCCCTATTCCAGTCAGTTAATAACTGGGGCGAGATGACCCGTAACCCTCCAATTCCCCTCCCCTTTTCTCTTCCTTTTAATTCCTTTCCCCTGTCGCCCCTTTTGACGCCTGCTACTCAGGCTATTTCTTCACTGAGCCATCGTTGTTACCAGTTTCAGACTTTCGCGGCCGTTTTTCGGTAAATGGAACTGATTTCTGCAAATGGTTTGCAAGCAGTTCAGGCAGTTTGCCCACTTCGACGATGTAATACTACTTCCGGTATAGTCTGGTCAGCGGTTATAAATTTGGCACATGTGAATTTCATTCTATCTCCATCCGGTGACGGCCGGTGAGTTTTCACCGTTCGATAAATTTACGAAGTTTTTGGCGAGTTGAGGTGTATTTTGGTCGCTGAAATGTCTGCTCAGGTGTTGCTCAGGTGTTATAACAAGGGATGCGGGAAAGAATACAGAGAAGAAGAAAATAGAGAAGGTGGGTCATGAACTCGAAGCGCATTAGTTGGTTATTTTCTAACGGAGCAAAAGTTAAATTCCGTTTTGACAGCTTTATTTTTCCCAAGTTCCTTTCGGTTCCTATGTGTTCCACTTTCCATGGAAAAATGACTATTTAACATTGTTTGTTTTAGATTTAGGTCTACGTTTATAGCTTGTCTCCGAGTAAGATCGTTGAAATGGGCAACTTGATTTAAGTTACCGGCTATATTGGATATGTCACATCTGCGTATGCTTAGCGGAAAACAGATTTAGCGTGAAACGGTAATTACCAGTTTCTGAGTTGGTAAAATGGCAGTAAAAACAGTTATAGTGGAAAAAATGTTTATGCTGGCGGATTTGCCAAGTTAAATCGTAAATCTTCAATAGAAACGGTGAAGGTGGCTCAAAACTAAGACTGCCTTGTGGATGCCTTGACCTTTGTATGACTTGGATGCTGAGCAGGGTACATAATAAAAGACAAGTGTGACGTCACGTTACCATGTTAGATCTCAACAATTTTGGAGTTGGTGATGGCTGCGAAAATGTCACATAAAAAGGGACTCCAAAAATTAAGCGCAATTATCTCAATTCACTCACTTTGTCCAATGTAGGCGAACTCTCCTGGAACTGAATTCTTAAGAAAAATATCCAAGTTTAAAAAGAGAAACAGAAGTTTGCCATCATATGGGCACGTGGGCAATAAGTAATGGTAACAGGACTGAGTGGAGTCCAATTCAGCCTGTCATCATACCAGTGATTAACAAAACCATGGACGACCGCGTAGCAGGGGTCCGATTTGTTTAATCATGAGTATGATTACAGGACTGAATTGGACAACACAAAGTTCTGTTACCAGTTAATCATAACTTTAACAAAATCTGTGATACATATGGCTCTTTTTAAAATCAAAAAACAAGAAATTCCAAGATTATTTTTTGCTAGCAGTGAAAAAAAGAGCCATTTAAGCGAGTGCCTTATGGCGTGTACTGTACTTGTTATAGTTATGATTAAACATGAAATCAGGCAATAGACCTTTTTACTGATACGGTGGCCATATTGAATTAATTGGATTTAAGGAGTATTATGGGATGCCCAGGGGGCATCAGCAAGACACAGTATACTCACGTCAGTATGTATGCGGGCTTTTTGGGCCGATTTTTTTAAAAGTTTTCTTAGAAAAAGATTGTAATGGGAAAAAAGATCATTGTGCCGTGTTTGGATGTAATTATGATCGCCTTTTTCCCGAGAAATATACATTGATGGTCTTTTTTTGCCCAAAAAGCACGCGTAAATACTGAGCGAGTCCCCCCTGGGCAAGCCATAATACTCCTTAAATCTAATAAATTCAATATGGCCGCCGTATCAGTAGAAAGGTCTATTTATGTCGTTGTCATGCAGTGATGGCGAAGAAATGTACAGAAAAGTATGCTGCATGTGCAAAGTTGTTGTTTTGCTAATGTGAACCTACTGCTTTTTTGATGTTCTTGTTGCTGTCGCTGTGAAACTCCCTAGATTAGAATATTCAAACAACTCAACATGTTTAGAATAATTAACAATTTTTCCACGAGTGCACGTTGGATATGAGATGGTACTATAATCATCGCATATCCAACAAGCGCGAGTGTGAAAACGCCCACAAAATATCCAGAATTCTTCCTGACTTCATTTGTGAAAACAACTGATTTTCAGCTTGTTTTTAATTTTGAGCAGACACATATAGTTACCATATTTGGAGAGCATGGTATAATGGCTCATATACCATGATGGCTAAGCCAATCAGAGCTCTAGAATTCCATTATCCAATGATTTAGTTTTAGTAATGTCTATAATTGTAATGGTTCTTTCTACAATTAATCGATTTGTGGCTCATCAGGGAAGAAAGATGCGCAGATCATGAATTCANGGCCATATTGAATTAATTGGATTTAAGGAGTATTATGGGATGCCCAGGGGGCATCAGCAAGACACAGTATACTCACGTCAGTATGTATGCGGGCTTTTTGGGCCGATTTTTTTAAAAGTTTTCTTAGAAAAAGATTGTAATGGGAAAAAAGATCGTTGTGCCGTGTTTGGATGTAATTATGATCGCCTTTTTCCCGAGAAATATACATTGATGGTCTTTTTTTGCCCAAAAAGCACGCGTAAATACTGAGCGAGTCCCCCCTGGGCAACCCATAATACTCCTTTTAAAAATCTAATAAATTCAATATGGCCGCCATATCAGTAGAAAGGTCTATTTATGTCGTTGTCATGCAGTGATGGCGAAGAAATGTACAGAAAAGTATGCTGCACGTGCAAAGTTGTTGTTTTGCTAATGTGAACCTACTGCTTTTTTGATGTTCTTGTTGCTGTCGCTGTGAAACTCCCTAGATTAGAATATTCAAACAACTCAACATGTTTAGAATAATTAACAATTTTTCCACGAGTGCACGTTGGATATGAGATGGTACTATAATCATCGCATATCCAACAAGCGCGAGTGTGAAAATGCCCACAAAATATCCAGAATTCTTCCTGACTTCATTTGTGAAAACAACTGATTTTCAGCTTGTTTTTAATTTTGAGCAGACACATATAGTTACCATATTTGGAGAGCATGGTATAATGGCTCATATACCATGATGGCTAAGCCAATCAGAGCTCTAGA